GAACCAGTATCTTCTTGCTGACCAGTATGAATATGTCTTTATTATTTCATTCCCGATGTTTTTACATGGCCAATTTGAGAGGCTATTCTAGTAATAAAACAATAAATATATTTCATAAATTAAATGAAAAAATATTTCGCAGGCATCCAATTAGTGTACCAAGCGGTTGTGTCTGGTTCAAAGATGAAATAGTCTATTTTCCTAAAATTGCAGTAGAAGCAGCCTTTAGTAATCTATTATCATTTAACCTCTATCCAAGAGGTGGCCACTTTGCTGCACTGGATGAGCCAAAACTACTATCAGATGATATTTGGAACTTCATTAAAATTCTTAGAGACAAAAATGAACAAAGGTCAGTTATCCAACAAAGTCATTCAATTCTTGACCTTAATTGCCCCTCAGTAACTTAATTTTTTTTTTTTTAGGACAATTTCTGAAGACAACATCACCTCACATTGCTAGAAATTCAAAAACAAAATACAAATATGAAAGAGGCAAATACAAAAGGAATATGCAATATACCAGTTAATGGGAGTATTTAAAATATTTTTAAGTATTTAAATTTATTATTCAATATAGTTGCATAAAATGCAGAGTTTTAAAAAATGATAAAATAGAAAAATAATGTACTCAATTTTATTATTGTGGAGGCAGAATTTAAAAGATTTCTAAAACAAAAAAAGTAATTACTTTGGAATTACTAATTGTTGCTACTTACAATTTGAGCCAGAACAAATGCCATTTTCTACTAACATTTAGTAGATTGGATCATTTGCTGACAAAACTATATTTTTAGGTTAAACTATTACACTGACTGAAAATTGAGTTTCTTATATGGCTATAGTTATAATTTCAGTTGAATATTTGAATTTTAAGTTTGCTCAGTAAAAAAAAAATAACCTAGATCAAAAAAGTAGGGTTGCAAACATAAAATCATTTTAAATTTCAAAATATGTTGTGTATTAAATTTTTTCAGGAAAATTATTTTTTTTATTCAGTGACTCTACTCCAGTGCATTTCACCTTAACACTCTCAGGCTACAGAATAGGCATAACAAGGGAAAAAGCAAGAAACTTAAAATTATAAATTTAAGGATATGTCATCAAGCCTTCTAATAAAGGCCATGTTCATGAAAACAACTATCATTATTAATACTGCTATTTTTTTTGTTATCAGTAATTGAAATATATTGTTTAAGTAGTAAGTTTTTAGAAAAAAAATTTATTGCATGTTTTTTTTTTTTTTTACAAAAATTTATTTCTTGAATCAATTGTAAATATCTGTTGTACATATATATATTTATGAAATATAAATTACAAAAACAAAAAATTTTAATGTTATAGCTTTAGGCAAAAAAACATCTGAAAAAAATGTCACTGAATGCTATCCTGCTGCTTGTTTATTTGCTAAAACTGCTCGGCTAACTTCTTTCTCATTTTTAAATAAAAACATTAAGCTTAAATTTAGTAGTTTTCGTTTGTAGTGGGAACACAGGGGGATTTATGGGGGAGGGGAGAGGGAGCTTTCCGGCTGAAGCCTCCCTCTAAAATGGAAATTTGTTTTATTGGTCTTTATTTGTTATGGTGATATAAGTTAAATACTTAAACAATAACAATGATGCATATATTGCTACTAACTACAATCCTGTCTTATGAAAAAAGTATTAAAAAAACTATCTCTTAATAATATTAGTTCATGTAATTAATGTTATTTTTAAAAGGGATTAAAGAATCACATAAACAGCATTTCATACAGGTTGTTGATTTTTTTTTTCTACCCAAATAATAATTGTTGCACATATAAAACAAAAAGCTTTAGGGCTGAAGCTCCGTTCTCTCCCACCAAATTTTAATCCTGGATTCCCTACTGATTAGGAGGGCAAAAATAAAAACAGTATAGGAGTTTGATCTTATTAAACTAATACAAACCATTTTGTCTGGTATTTTAAGTTAAATAATGTCAGTTTATATCTGCACTAAAATTAGCATTTTAATTGAGCACTTGAGTATTTAATTAAGATTAAAATTGTTTTCATAATTTAATGTTAATTGGATTCAGTTATATTTTAATTCCTTAAAGATTTTTTTAAAAATACATCTAAAATGTAACAAATCCTTAAATTCTACAGTAATGATTTGTTGTAGTTAAGTCAAAATTTTAAATATTTTAATTGATTTTGTCGGACATGATGAAAAAAGGAAATGAAACATTTCAACATGGCTGTAATCAAAATTCTTGAATACAACATAAAATAGATCCCATGTACTGCCAATAGCTTCACTGTTTCTCAAGTGAGTTGTAAGTGGTATGGAGATGTCATGCCTAGGCTGCAGAGCAGTCACTGCGGTTCATTGTGGTGGGCAGTTCCAGCAAAATAGTAACTTAACGAAAATATGATGAAAATAAAATACCACTAAAATTAAATTAATCACATATTAATTGTAAAAACAAAATGACCTAAAAAATTTTTAAATATATATTTTTAGAACATTTCGTTGTCACCTGCATCCATTCCACACTCCAGCATTTCCTTCCTTTTTTGATTTCTCATTTGATAATATTTAAACAGAATTCACAAAAGCATAAAACATAGACAATAAATGTCATAAAACAAATAATAACAAAATTCAAAGGAGTTTTTTCGTAAGCTGAACGTTTGAAATTATTGTATGGAGAGCCAACATTTGAGATCATTCAAAGTGCACATATTTTGTGCTAACGAGTAATTGAAATTGGAAAATATGGTCCACATTCATTCATGAAAAGACTTGGAAATGATACTGTGCTATATTTTAGTGCTTAAAATGACTTCTGTGCATGGTATGCATATCGGCATACTAAGGTAATAAATTATGAAAAAAAATAAAATAGCTTATATATTCCCTATGTACTTTTTATTCGGTTTCTTTTAGCTAGTTTTTACAAAAATTATTAATGTTATATAAACATAAATACTGGTCATTGAACTGAATAAATAATAAGGTGATATAAACAAAGAACAAGGATGTATTTATTTACAAAAAAGGATTAGTATTAATTTATTGCAATAATCAGTTTAGTATAATTTTACTATTACTACGATCATCTCACTGATACCTGAGGTTTAACAGTTAACAGATTGAGTTGCTATTTTATTCTTCATGATAATCCATGTAATTCCATTTATTTTAAATCCCTAAAAATTATATACTTTTATTCAATAATTTCAGCTTTAAAGAAAATATGCATTACTGTTGTTTTTCCTCCATGTGTCAGTAATAAGTGAGCATAATCACTTCAGTTAATGTGCGGAGGAATTTCTTCTTAAATCTTTCAATACTTATTCTTAGGGTGCTGATCTCTGGCTTTATCATATCATTCAACATGTTTAGTATTTGTAGCAATGATTGCAATAATGAAATATTTTTTCTTCCTTAATTTTTGAAACCAAATATTTAAAATGCCATTTTTATTTTTATTTTAGTAAAGATCGCACCATGAAGTAGAATCAGAAATGTAGATTATATCAGCCTAAGCCTGCTTATCTAAATCTAGAAAGATTTTTTCTATCTTTTCCAAGGTCAAATTACTAATAATGTGTTACAGGAAAGTCCATCCTTCCTGTGCAAGTTTAATAGGAAAAGGGTGATAAATTCAAAGGAAAATATATAGGAAATTATATAAATTTTAATCATAAATTTTGATTTCCAATAAAGAATTAAAATGGTGATGGGACCTCACACTTCACCCTTGGTGGAATTTTACACTTTTAGATTTAAATTACTGAAGGTATGAAGCCTAGTAATGAATAGTGTTGTACTTGATAAAATAGTCAAGCATGATATACAAACACCATGAACAATCTTTTGCATTAAGCACCATTGTATCTTAACATGTTGTTTCATTTGGTTTTAAGGTCCTTGTATATTCAAACTAGAGCAGGAAGAATGGGTTTCCAACCTATTCAAGCCAGGTGGTAAGGTGATGTATCTTAACTTTCCAAATACATTTTAAGAGGGATTTTTAGGACAATAAAAAAAAAAAAAACATACTTTACAAAGTTTTAAGTTACACTAATTAACTCAAGATTTATACATGCATAAAGCAAACTTCATAAGCAAAATTAATATATTTAATAAGAAAAAGGAAAAAGAAACTATGCCTAATCAATATACTATCAAGACAGACATTTTTTTACAGAGAGAAAGGAAAATTATTGTGTCCAAACAAACTTTAATCATATTTAAACTGAGTCAATAAAAATCAAATCAAATATAAATATTTAATTAAACCGAAGTTTTTAAAATTAAAAACATGCTCCAATATTTCAACCATAGATTCTTTCATTAACCACCTAAGAAGATACATAGGTAAATGATAAAATATCTAAAAATAAGAAACATCAAAGAGAGCTGATTGATAGGAGTATTTAGTGTCTCGAGGAAGTCCTTGTACTCTCTCTTTCTCGCTCCCTCTCTGAGTGTCTTCCTTCGCGCTCTCTTTCACGATCTCTGTCCCTGTCTCTTTCCTTTTCTCTCTCCCGGTATCTTTCTTCATAATACCTGGAACTGTGCACATATGTATGCCAAAGTGAAGAGATAATTATTTAGAAATATGAATTACAAAAAAAAAAGCCATGAGCAAAGCAATAGAAAAAAGAACTAAGTCATGAAGGAAGGTAAAATACTTCAAGTTACCAATTGCTTCAGATAGGCTCTCTACTACAATATCAAAATGTTTCTTTTTATATTATCACATTATATGTTATTATATCCAAGAAATCTGAGAAATATTTCCTTCTTTTTCCTTATAATACATTTTTAGTTTGTCATAGTATATAATAACTAGCAATATTTTAAATTTTCAAAACTTAAACATGTGGTAAGTACCACATGGCAACTGTGGCACCTAAGTTTTCGGCAAGGATCATGGTATATATCGAAAAAGTACATTTTAGCACTTAAAAATGGAGGGCCTGGTAAAGTTTCACGAGAACTTTATTCTTGATCTCTACATAAAAATCTTTAAAACATAATTATTTCAGTCATGATCCATCAGCTTACCAATGCCAGAGTTTTAAAACCTCCTAATTTTATTAAATTGTATTCAACTGAAGTTCTTTTCCTTTTAACACCTTGTTTGTCAAAATCCACTGCTCTTGAGAGATAGAAAAGTGTCTATACTATAATATATATCATATGATGTATAGTATCGTCATAAAAGAGGTTAAATCCTAGTCTGAGATAAGAATTATTAAAACTGAATAGAAAATACATAGACTAAAAATTACATCACATAAATTGAATTATCACTGGATTATTAGGTTCGATAATTAAAAGTGCCGCCTCATATCCATTATAGTCATAAGGTAAGAATAAAAATAATTTAAAAATGACATTTAATTGAGAAAGTATCAAATAAACAACTATTTAACAGTTAAATTAAATTAAATTAAATGTCAATTTTTAGGGATAATGTTGATGAAAAATTAATAATGTTATATTTTTTTCTTAATTAATCAAACATGGTCCTTGACTTCCATCCAATTCTATTCATTGGTCTGAAAGACGGTAAATTCCTAGAAGGAATTTTGTACCATATAGCCTGATTTAAACAGTACTTTTTGAAAAAATATCAAGTGTCAAAAAAGTAATTGCTTGATTATGCATGATCAAGTTCCAAATGTTTAATATAAAAAACGACCAAAATAAGAAGCATTAGTCTAGGCTTTTAACGGTAAATAGAATCCCTGCTGTAATTAACAATTTACTAATAAATACATCATTTATTATGTCATATTATTGTAACCTCCAAAATTAAATTTATTATACAACCAGATACAATTAGTTTGTCTCAATACATATCATGAAAAAAAATCATAACCAAATAATTGAAAGATCAAGAATAGTTATACGAGCGTGCACGAGTTCACCCAAAAGATTAGAACAGGCTTCCATACATGACATGAGCTTATTTTTATATGAACTCCAACAATATTAAGTACATATATATATATATATATATATATATATATATATATATATATACATTTATTCTTAAAACAAATAAAAATACCCACAATGAAACGTAAATAAATATAGCATCAATAATTTTTATTTTTACTTTCCCTTTGCCTAAAAATACTTATTTCTGCTAAGAAGAGGGTAGGGTAGTAAGTGAAAGTCTTGTTATGCGCACACCAGATTTTTTTTATATAGGATTTGCTATGAAACAATGACCATGTTCCCTATCATAGTCATAGACTTTTAATTTCCTTATTCCACTTTTTCTACATAACCTCGTCTTCTTCTTTCGCCAATTTTCCAAAAGTAAATCTCTCTCTGGGGAGCGGGGTAGCTCAGTGGTAGGGCACTGAGCTTCCAATGCAAAGGTCCCGAGTTCGAACCCCGGCTCATGACAGAAAATTTATTTATCTGTTTCATTGGCCGTGGGGCGACCTTGGGTCAGGAGTCCTTCCTGGGGCACACCCAGCCTCTATAAAGTGGGTACCCTTAATTAAATAATTAATTAGGGGATGGAAACCTGGCGGTTGAGCGTGATCTCGGTCAAGTCACCTCCTTGCACAACCGTGGACCTAGAAACAGTGCTTTCCCTAAATAGTACTGAACCCCAGACCCTTTATGGGTTGTAGTGGTACAGGTTTTTTTTTTTTTTTTTTAAATCTCTCTCTTGGCTATCTTCCTTCAGGCGTTCTTTTAAATGTCCAGACCACCTGAGTGACTTCTTTTTCAATATCTTCGAGAATATTTTTATTTTTACTTCAATATTTTCTTGATTTTTGAATTTTTTATTTTATCTATTCGGGATATTTCTACTGATCATCGCTATTAATCCATTTCAGTTGAAAGGAGTTTCATCTTAATATCACTCTTTATGGTCCAGGTTTCTGTTCATATACCATAATGCTCAATACAATACTTTTATATTTATTCCTTTTGGTTTCAGGAAAGATATTTCTACTCCATAATATTGAATTGAGCACGATATAATTTTTTTACTTTCTACAATCCTTATTCTTATTTCCATATTAAAAAACTCCTTATTCTTATGTCCATATTAAAAAAACATCTAATTAGATTGTGAAGCCCATTTAATGCTCATCATCATCAACTTAATCTTGACTTAACATCGTACATTTATGAAAAAAACTTAAAATTTTTAGTAATAATTAGAATAGTCATGTATCATCAAATAAGACAGAGCTATGTTTTCTTGGATTAAGAGGGAAAAATCACCAAGAGAGAAAAATTAATATAAATAAAGAACGAAAAGTCTATGCTATCATTAAATAAAAACAAAATCCCAAGGAAAGTAACCATTCGCCACATATTCAACACGATGAAAGTTGTCCTATCACGTACCTTAACCTATTCCCTACCGCTGCATGCAAAGGGTTAATATATCAATTAAAAATAAAATAATAAATAGACTGTTGTAGATAGGAATTAGATCGTAGGCCAGATTACCTTTCATCACGGCTCCTCTCTCGATCTCTTTCTCGGCTCCTGGATCTCTCTCTACCATAAGTACTACTTCCACCACTTTCTCCGTAGTATCTGGAAAAATAAAAAGAGTTATATTATTCCAGTTTTGGTAAACGTATAGATATCAAGAGAATAAAAAGATTTATAAATTTAAATAAAATTATTTAATGGAAATATTTAAATTAAATTAAATTACACTAACATTAGATTTAATGCAATGTACGAGCTGATTTCAAAATATAGGCATGTTAAAAACAATCTGAAAGTAGAGGATGGAATTTTCTGAAATGGATATCTACTTGATCATTTGTTTATCAATCCCTAACTTCCCTCCAGCTTTGAGCCAAATCGAACGTGCGGTTCTTAAGATATATATGTATCACAAAAAATGGGTTTGGGTATATTTAAGAGAAAGCTGTTAACGGAATGCAATGAAATCAATACAGCATTATTTTTTTACAGACACCTATCTTTCGTCCAGCTTTGAGTCAAATCGAATAAGCCATTTCTGAAATATTGGCATAGCCAAGGAAATACATTAACACGTGCGTAAGCGGAAGTGTAGGGTGGAATTTGATATGAGACCATCTAGACAGCAATCAGCACATCTCCTAAAAATTTTATGAAAATCGGATAAATGGTAGCAAGTGATATGCCCGTTACATCGATTTGACTACAGACAGACAAACGCCAAACCAAATTTGATCCTCTTGATGTCTGAAACATAAAACGAGAATGTAATTTTTCGATTCTGAGCACATTATTTTTTTTAACCTCCCACACGAATCCAAAGCTTCCCTATCTTCGGTAGTGAGAAAGCCAAAAAAAAAAACAGTGCTAAATTAGAAGCTTCAAATAATCCCAGCACAAATGATACTGTTAAGGAAACACAGCGAAGATCCTACTTAATTTAATTTAAACTTGATGAAAAAGCAAGCAGCACTGCTGCCATCTCTTGGCAGGCACGAGAAGCAGAGAGATAAGCAGAGACAGATTCTGATACAGGTTTCCTGCATCATTCATGTCAACTTAAGACTGGAGACACAGCTGCCAGCGATAAATTAAAATCAATACATGTTTCATAAGAAGAAAATGGAGTAGTAGACTCTAGTAGTCCAGCAAGGGTCCTGAAACTTAGAAGAGGGAAGAGGAGAAGTGCCAGAAAGAAGCAAATACATAGCAGTAATTTTTAGTCGCCACCCACCTAATCCACCTAAATAGCAATAATTTATAATATGCAGATCAAAATTAATTAACATAATAAACAACATTGTAATAGCTTTGGGTCTCAATAACTCATTTTATAATAGATATCAAAATATAGCAATCAGTTTAATCACATATTTTACTCAAGTCATCAAATCATTTAATTATACAGTCCATAGTAGTTAAATAAGAATCAGTTCCAGTTCAAATTCATAACTAGAAATTGGGGAAATCGGCCTAATCAGATTTCTCCACCATTTGGCACAAGCTCAAAAATGTAATAAGATTCAAGATAATAGAGTGGAATGGAACAGCCCAAGGTGTTCGAAGGAAATGGATTTTCATTAACTTTATTTCATTAACTGAAATGTTTATTAAATAAATTTGATTAAAATTAAGTAAGCAAAAATAATATAATGACCAAATCCTTCACTACAAAATAAATAAAATTATTCAATGATATTGACTTCTTAGCAAACCTGTCACGACTTCTCTCTCTAGATCTGCTTCTACGAGATCTTCTATGAGGTTCTCGATCACGAGATCTGGATCGCTCTAAAAAAAAAAATATATATATACATATTATAGAGTCTCTAAAGCATTTAAATCATATCAAATAAATTTAAAAACACCAACCCCTCCGGCTTGAAGCATATCTCTTAGCCTCAACACCATGCAAAGTATCTTGCAGTGAGGATATCAAGATTTTACACCTATCATCGTTAGATATCTTGGACTGCTTGATCAAAGATATAGCAGTCTCTAAAGTTTCAATGGCACTCGAAAACTCACCTGAAAATAAGGGAATGAAGATTATTATATTACACTTTCTTTCTAAAAAATAATTTCAACTGAGTCTTATAAGCTAAATTTATACATAACAAATCGAAGAGATACAATGTATTTTTTTTAATCCACAAAACAGTGTTTATGTTGCATACATAAATAATACAACATTGCAGACTACAATAATAAAAAAAAATAGAAATAAAAATTATAATACAAATTGAGATATGATACATCATGGAAGCAACTAATTTATAATCTAATTTAGTGACAATTCGTAGGATTAATTAATCTATAAAAATAAAAATAAAATAAAAAATAAGGCAAAACATTCTTCTGACACCTGGCCATCTTCTATTAATTGTTTGTTTCACAAGCCTTAGTTAACTATGAATGTCTATGAATAGATACTTTGATACTTAATTATAAACAAGACAGATGCAAGTTCAGTTAAACCATAGTCAATAAAAAATGTGAAGACAAGTTAAAAAATGAATTGAGCCTTCAGTAGTTGACAGACCATACTCATAAAGATGCAATCATAAATATTGAAGAATAAAAACTATATATCATTCATGAGACTATTAAAGAGATAAAAATACAATTATGTCAATACAACTAATTTATTTTATTTAAATTAAATATTATTTAGTAAGTTATCACTGAAGGGGAATATATATATATATATATATATATATATATATATATATATATATATATATATATATATATATAAATTTGAATTGAGAATAATTCATGTAAGAAACCTATTGATAGAATATAACAGGCCAGATGTCAGTCGACTTATCAAGTACAAGACAATAATATTCTCTTCTGTTTTCTGAGGAAATATAACCTGTAGCAGCATCTGAGATGGCCCTTGATATCGCGGAGCTAGAAACTGTCCTGTTCCGTGACATGATCTCCTCAAACTCTATTTCTGAGAACTGCAGCTGTTTGTCCATCGAGACAAGCGGCTGCTGCTGAGGTGGTGGCTGCTGACCTCCCATCGGGTACTACTTGGCATAATAACATATACATCAATACTATTACATTAACCTAAAACCTAATTTATATTTATATTCACTCCCTTAGATTTACAGTACACAAACAAATAAAAAAATAATTTTTAAATATTTTAAACAAAAAAAGAAATCGTAAAATATATCAGCATAAAACCTACAAACAAATGGTTAATCCTTATTAACTAGTAAATAAATGTATACATACACTAAATATAATCTGTACAAATAAAGCCTCAAGCAATTTACAAGTAAAGGCCAAATAAAATTACTATAAAATATACACACAATACTAAAGAGATGTAAAGAATAATAATTTTCCAAAACCATGAACAAAATATTATTATGATTATAGTAGACACAAATCAACATACAATGATTATTTCTTATTTTTATGATCTTTAATAAAATTTATAAATAAATATTTTCTAGTTAACCATAAATCCAATGCATGCATATTAATATAAAAGAAAAATATGTATATAAAAAAAATAAAACGCCCATCCCCAAGAAGGAATAGCAAAAAAAAAAAAGAAATAATAACAATAAGCTGGATATAGAAAATGATAAATATAATAAAAATGCTTATTAAATTTATACTATTTATTTTTATAATTTTCAAAAATTTATTAATAAAAAAATAAAATAAAAGACCAAAATTTAAATTACAGTCGACTCACTATATCACACATTTTTCCCAGTCCTTTGAGAAAACCTCATTTAGTTGAAAAAATATAAGACAATGACTCCATCTCCAAGCTATATGAAAGAACTATTGAGCTCTATAGCTTATAAAATTTGGTACAAGCCGATAAAAAAAAAAAAAAAAAAAAGGATGACAATTAGTAGACTAGTTTTACTCAAATTACTATAAACTTGTCAAATTAAAGTTATAGGAGCTATTACTAAAGAATTACTAAAGAATTACTAAAGAAGTTACTTCTAACCCTAAGAGATATATCAATCCCTTAAATTTGAGCTATTTGGAGTTGACTGTAATTCACAAAAGTTACATTTTTCTTGATGTTTACTCCTAAAATTTATTTTATCATTTTTTAAAGGAAATAACAAATTTAATTGAAAGATTTCCCACTAACCAAAATGGTATTAGAAAAATTAGAAGTTAACTTTTGTAAGCAATCTTCAATTCGTATAATTTCCATAAATGTAATGGGCAAGTAAAAAGATAAAATATAATTTTTAGAAACATTAAAAAAACCTTATACGAAAACAAATTTAGAAGGCATGCCTATACCACTACGTATTTTATAAACATAATTTAATAAATACTTTCAAAAATAAAATCAAGGCTTTTAATTTAAATATATACAGATAAAGAGCAACAACTATTAATATAAATCTGGAAAGCAAAAAACTATAATTAAAATTAATAAGCTTCGGTTAGAGGTGATATTTCTTATCTCTTAAGCAATTACATAAAGATGACAAGTTTTACTAAAATTCTTTTATGAAAAGATATAAGAGGAAAAGAAAGGCTTAATATACTGAGGATATTATGCAATAAACATAAAGCACATGAAAGATTATAAATTTTGTTTTAATTACAAAATGATGACTCCTATTTATTTAAACTTAACAGAAAACCAGCCATTTCTTCCTAATGTCCGACCCCTGGCCATATTTTCTACCTTAAAACATACTTTAACTTTAGGAGAAGACGAACATAAATCTAAATAAACACCCATAAAATAATGAAGTATCTCAAGAGATTTGAGAGATACAATATGAATGATATAAAATTAAATGTGAAACAGTCTTTGCATAATAAAATTCATAGATCAATAGAATATATAAAATCTTTAGTAAACCAAGAAAAATAATACTTTCTGTAATGAGAAGAAAAAAAAATTCTAACAATTTCTGCTAGCTTTGTCCAAAAACAATACGAAAAAAAAAGTATGAAGATAGGTATCGTAAAACATATTTTCAGAGATAGGAAGAATCAGAGAAATTAATATACATCGTGGAAAAGAAAAGCTAGAGATAAATATTAACACTATTCCCATCCAACCACAAATTATGTATAATACTCGTATGACTAGCATCCGAAAAAAAATCTACAAAACAAAACCCAAAGGAAGCTCAAAAGAGTTAAGAGAAGCATACAAATATAAAAAAATACACATAAATGATTTTGCGAGAGATAATCCTCATGTTTGGACTTGAGACCCCAGACTTGTTGAAACGAGAACATGGAAATTGGATATCAGATAAAATAAAAATAATTATCTTGGAACAATAACTCACCAGAGAAATGACACTTAAATGCGATACCTTCACATTGATTGTCAAGCAAACAAAACTATGATAACAAAGAATAAAAATAAATAAATGATAATTTCTAGTAAAAAATTATTTAGTTGCAATACAAAGAAAAAACTAGTTATAGATTTACTAGAATCAATTTTAATTTTTAAAAAATAATAAACCAGTTAAGGAAGTTATTACAAAATTAATAAATTGTAAAAATATTCCTTTTTGTATTGTTTTTTTGTTATATTGTTGAGGTTCATGTCAACTTGACACTTTATCCGATTTACTAAGGAAAGTAAATAATTCAAATGTAATGTTAATATACAATAAATCTTCAATACTAAGGATGAGCCAGAGTAATGACTAAAATCAAATTATTATAACTAAAGTGTATATTATTATAACAATATTCATATATTATTATAACAATGTATAATAGAATTAGGGATAAATTTACAATATTTATAAATTAATTATATGGTATAAATAGAACAATTAAACAAAATAATTATGTTGTCAAGAGATCACAAGATCAAATATACCATTGAGAGCAAACTCATTATAACTGCTTTAAAACGTGTTTAAGAACCTTTGGTACCCACGCCAAAAAAATTTAAATGGTAAATAGGTTACCATGGTTCAAGAGTCATATGAAAAATAATAAGGTCATACAATACACCAGACATTAATAGGTAAGTGATCAACTGCCCAAACAGCTGTAATACATTCACCAAAACATAAGACAATACAAAATTATATTTTATAAAGCTTTATGGAATTTTAACTGATTTTTAGCCTTAAATTGATTCCAAGTAGGTCTGACATAATTTGAAGATGTACCATAAAGTAGGAGCACGCCATTTTACTAAATAAATAAAGGAAATTGAATACATTGATACAATAACCAAGATATTTACTAACTTCAATATTATAAATATTTAACAACAAAACCTTCTAATAGTTTTTTAAATGTTATTTAAATCTAATTCATGAGTAATAATTTTTTTTTTTATGAATAGGGAAGAATGTTTTTTTGAAGTTCAATGGTATGATCTTAAGTGCTATCTACTTCAAATAGTGTGTTACGAACAAGACCATGGAGACATGACTCAATTTATATTATCATGGGAAGTTTCATTTTCGACAGACATCAATGCCTAAAATCAGATGGAATCAAACGTCTTGTGGTAGTCATAACTCAATATTTATTAATATTTGAAGGTGGACCTCAAATACTTTAGACACAAAAGTTCACATTAATATTCACACTCTTCTGGAACCAGAACCTCACAAAGAATGCCCATGTTGTCAGTAACTAAAAGCAGTGGAAGTTCTAGGGGGAAAGATATCACTCGACCTTATTCTTCAATAAGTGACCAGCTGTGTATATAATAGAGAAGGATCACTTGTATATGTATATATATATATATATATATAGAGAGAGAGAGAGAGAGAGGAATTTTTAATCATTCATATAATCTAAAGAAGTTGCACAAATTAGGAAGTTTTTAGTTTTTTAATTACTAATTGTTATATTTTATATTTATTGCAATGGGCCTACAAGTTGTAAAAACAGCCTTATAAAATAAATAAAAAATAATTTCTATACCTATTTATTTATATTTATATATTTTATTTGAAGCCAATGTTTCGATCCAACTATGTAGGTCTTCATGATAAAAAATCAGCATAGTTTACCATGTTCCTGTCTCATAAAGTTTTTATAACATAATATAAATATAGATAAAAAAAATTACTGTTAGAAAATTTCTCAACCCAAGTTTTCACATAATAAAACGAGGAGTAAGCAATGGCAAACCAATTTTTTAGCAAATTAGGTATTGCTTGTGAATTTATTTTAACGGTTAAAAACACATTGAAACGTTAACATTTCAGTGAGTTCAGAATGTGACATACTATTATAGGAAAATATAGAAAAAAAAAATGTATCTACTCCTTGAATATATATGTATGTATATATATATATATATATATATATATATATATATATATATATATATATATATATATATATATATATATTATGACTAATAAAATAAATTCACTAAGTCTAGATTGACAAAAAAAATTAAATTAAACACAAAAAATCAGTTCGAGACCACCCAGACTCAAGACAAATCTTTGATAGTCTACGAAGTAACTATATGTCGAGAATTATTTCAATTCTTAAAATATTAATACAATATTTCAAGACTGAACAGAAGGTAAATACAATAAACAACAATGATAATAATAATTTAAAAAAATATATATAATGAACGTTATAAATTATAATATTAATCAAACTATTATCTTTGATACTTCATACTTTTACTCCATATTTCAATGAAAAATTTGAATAATTAGCAATTTAACTCTACAAATATCCCCCCTTATATTTGTTTTGAAGGTTTGAAATAAGGAAATTTTTTTATAAAAACTAGTCCTAATCAGGATACAGCCAATAAAATTATATGACTACTAATAGAATGTCGGTAAACATAATATCTTCAATAAAAAAAAATACAAACTTAATGTCCAACACGTCATATACGTTGCCAGCTGTACAGCTAGGTTGATACACATAATTACCACAAATCCTAAGACAATTTACTGAAAAGCAAGACAGGATGCTCAGTTTTGTACAATAAATTAATTTTTAATATACAAATAAATATATTTTCAATCACAAAATAAAAAATATAAAAAGGGGAAATTTATACATTATTTCACTGACTGCAACCATCAATACAGAATTAGTTACTTTATTCAAAAAATTTGTAACATATATTTAACAATTTATCTAGAAAAATATTAATTTGAACAATTAATGTATAAATATAAGAGATATATTCAGAACAAACAATAAAATGTTAAATAATATAACATGGAAACGCGGAAAGGACAATTACTTTTATTAAGTTTCAAAAAATGTTATTTTCAAAAAGCTATTAGCTTATCACAACTAAGGAATTTCATAAAATCTAAACAAAATTCCCCTAGCTTAGTAGTCCGAGAGCCTGTGCAAATAAATCGACAGTATTTGATGAAAACTTTGAAAATTTTTTTTTCAATATTTACAACATTTATATTCAAGAAATGAGTTTCTGCCAGTCGGATCTTGCTATCTATAAAAATGGTGGCTAATTTAAAGAATATTTGGGCAGTCAATCGAAATGGAAAATTCATTGTAAAAAATGTGGGAAAAGTTTTTATTTTTTTAGCTGTATATAGGTATACAGGTTCACACATGTAAAAACCAAAATTGGTAACGTAAGCCACCAAAGGAAAATTGTTAAGCCAAAAAAGAAAGATTTTTTCGATCTTTTTTTGTTTTTTTTTCAATAATTCCTAAAAGGTACATCAAAGACAAAAATATCCCCTTCAAGAAATAAAAGAATATTTAATTGTGTCGAAC